AGCCCGCCCGTGCCCCCAGGATCTTCCGTCCCTAGCCCCTGCGGAGCGTTGGCTCCCAGTGCAGGACACACCGAGCAGCTCCCGCTCCGACTCCCTGGCCGAGCGACCCTTGTCTCCGCGCCGCCCCTGCCTGCCTTGACTGCCTCCTGCTGCCGCTCAGCACAGCGGGTCTTCCTCGGTCTCCAGGAGAAATCTGGAGAGAAATCCTCTTCCCTATCTGCTTCGCCTGCCGTCTCTCTGGCACATGAACCGCCTAGTGGCCCTGGTCCGGTGTGCACAAGTCTTGGAGCTGAGGCGCAAGGGGGAAACGTCCCTGCATGTGGCAGGAGCTGTCCCCTGCAGGTCCTTTGTGCAGGGGGACGTCCCTTGTGCCCAGCTGACAACCGCAGCAAAGCGTGTTCCTGCTCTCAGGAGAGCCACCCAGTGCAGTGGAGGCGTTTGAGGGGTCCAGGGCAGAGGGTGTCCTGTAAGGGCTTTCTCTGGGAGGTGGAGGACTCTGCAGCGGGCTGCTTGGGCAGCGAGAGCTCAGTAGCCCAGAAACTGAGGAATAAGGGCTGCCACTCAGCTGCTGGTCCAGGATTTTGGGTGGTGATGGTGAAGATGAGTACCAACAGTGCCAGGGCAGAGGGAGAGGGACTGGCAGCTGTTCTGCGCTTCTGACAAACTGCTGTGAAGGGGGAAGCATTGATGTGGATGGTCTTTCTGATTCTTTATCTTGCTCAGTTTTGCTACAGAGTAGATTTCTGCTTCATTAACAGGTTGTCTACTTAGTGCCAACCTCCCTGACACTACTGGTCAGCATTAACCCTTCGATAACAGGTATGATATTGGTGTGCAAAACAGAGCCTCTGCTCAAATTTTGTCCCTAAAAGGTTTGTTTTTATTGAGTCACAGCTTAAGATCAGGCCATGTGGAAACATGTCCTGCTGCCTTTTGAGGACAAAAAGCAGTGGGACCTGCTTCTACAAAAGCTAGTCATTGGTTTATTCCTCGTGGTAAGATGTGCCACAGGTGGAGCCCTGCCCCTGGGTTGGTCTTGCCTTTGTACCCTGATACCAGCACTTAAGGCCTGATTAGAGCAGAAACCTGAGAGCATGCTCTGAACCTGGCTCTGGTGTCGATGTTAACATTAATTTACTTAGCTTCCTTGTTGTAAATCTGTGGTTTTGTTTATTTGCCCTGTATAGGACCAGTTGAGCTCTGCACAGTCCTGTGAAAGAGCTAAAGGTCTTGATCCATGTCAGCATTGCAGCTCCCCCACAGAGTGCACAGGCATCGATGGGGGCATCCCCAGGCTTCAGTGCAGTGGCTGAGTTTCCAAGGCCACACACTGATGAGAGGGCTAATGTCACACAACATGTGGAGAGAATTAGTGTGATCAGATTTGGTCCAGGGGTCCAGAAAATAGTTCATTCTTTGTATTTTCATCCAGTAAAAATAATTTTAGAGTAATGCCATTTTATATACACAAAGTAACTGTATCTTGTCTGGATGAATACTTCCTCTGAATAAACTAAAATTACACTTACGCCAGAACAGAAAGTCTTCAAGAGTGCATGCTGCACTCACAAGTCACACTGCTGCAGTCTCATGGCATTCTGGCTATCTTAAGCATATAAATTGGCAGCATTCATAAAACCATAACCTGTGAGGGTTGGTTACTTGTGGCTTTGATCATTTCAGTGGAGGTTTATTTGTGTGATAGGTGTGGCTTCAACATAGTGGCATTTGGCTGGTGGGGAGACTCTATGTGTTAAACTCAAGTAGGTTTTTGTCACTTGTGCCAAAATCTGTGGAAAACAATTATTAAAATAGTACAACTATTGTATAACTGGACATTTATGTGAATTCACCAAGGGATATTTGCCATTCCAACCTGTGGAAGACCCAAATTCTGCCTCTGCTGAGCTGCAGTAGGTTCAGCCAAATGGGGAATCGATTACAACGATGGGTCATGCTGAGCTCTTGAATTTTGACAGACCGTCATCTTTAATGCTTGCCTGGAGGGGTCAGTGCCCAGAAAAGACTACTTTTAACTCTATGGTTTTTGCTGTTGAGATTGCTGAGATCAGCGAGAACCGCCCATGTTGTTTGCTCAGCTCTACTCCATGAGCCCCTGGCAATGGACATGAAAAACCTCAAGAATCTGCAGGCCCATCTGGATATTTCACATCATCTGTATTTCTCTGTTTAAAAACGTCAGTGCCCAGGCAGAGATGTCATCAGTGTTGCTCATCACCACAGGCAAAAGCTCAGGCAGAGGCTTATCAGGGCGTGTGAGGCAAGACACTCCTCGCAGAGTGGTGGTCACTCCATACCCTGATGGCTGCTGGGAGCTGGGACTCGCTCTCCTGGACCTGGTGTCCTCTGGGGTCATGTGGAGTGCCTGGTTACGGCTGTGAGCTCTGGGAAGGTCGTTCCACCTGCTTACGAGAACATTCATCTGTAATCCACCTTGGGATTCTTTCCCATGCATGTTGAATGCTGGAGCCTGTTTTGTTTGCTGGACGGAACAGGAAACTCTTTTCATTGAGGTGCTGCTGCCAAGATGCTGCACTGCTAGGACAGCAAGCCCCAAGCCCACTATTGTTTATTTTCAAGCACTTTTTAGCAGCTTTCACTGGTGATAAAGATGCTGGTATTAATTCCATCTTTCTGCCTGAGATATGTGTGTTTAGTGGAGGCATCTTTTTTAGGAACTCAGTTGCTTTTCAATTTTTACGGTGTACTTTATGCAGCATTGCAGTTGCTAGCAGTCTGTTCTTTTTTCCTTAGATAATGGTGTTTGGAGGAGTGTCTGTGGCCTTCACTCTGCTGGCTGTATTGTTGGTACCATTGCCTTGACTTGCTCTTTGTTTGCCTATGCTCAAGGAAACATTTTGCATGAAGAGGAAGGCAGGTAAGCTGTGATTTTTATTTTCCCCTGCACGAATTCAGCACACCAGGCCATCTCCTGCCGGTGGTCACCTTGCTAAACTTCATTTGCTGGGCTGCTGCAGTGAGTGCTGTTGGTCTGGGGGAATCACACTAAGGAGGAGGGACCACAGTGCTCCAAAACAGCAATCTGTTGGACAGAAGAGCTAAAGGGAGAGTGAACAGTTGTGGTTGCTTGCCCGATTTTGACAGATTTAATTGGGGGCAGTTCTTGCTTTCAAAGACCAGGGCACAAGCACAGTGATACAGCTTTGGGTTCTTTTGCTGGAGCTGTAGGAAATAATGTTTAAAACCTTTTCAGATGATACCTTATGCATGTTAATCTGGCACGGGCAGCTGAGTCCTCTGAACTGCCGGGGACTGAGGGCGAGGGAGGATTTCTCGCCTGGACATTTGGTTGTTGCCTGAAGTAGATGCTTGCTCAGTATTGAGGGGAAGCACTGGCAGCTACTGAGGCTGTTCGTGGCCTGGAATACTGGGATGCTGCTGTGTTAATGAGGGAAATGTGCTGTGGAACATCAGTTTAGCAGTGGAGCGAAAAGTGGAAGCAGGAATTTCTGCTGCTGTATAGCTGGGTCACGTGTGTTTGTACATTGGTGGTCAAGTTACTCCACGTAAATATCTTTATAATTATATTCCTAATAAAATATATTGTCCTTGTCCAAAAGGAGGCACTGTGCATGCTTACACTACTGTTCTGGAAGCAAAATTTGTATTTTTTAAAAAGTAAACATCTGTTTGTATTATTTTCTGATCTGGTTTTTGTTTCACTTTTTAGAGAGTTGTTTGGTCTTGTGATTATTACAGTATGGATGAGTCTTTGTCGCAGTTCAGCCAAGTAAGTTCTGTTTCTTTTTTTTTTTCTTTTTATTTAATCCATTCATATGTTCACATTTAGTGACTAGCTTCTTGAAAACACATAGTTGATTTTGGCTGCTTGTTTTTCTGCTTCATGTCACTGTCTGAATCTTCTCAGATATCTAAGCAGTAGTAGCTGGTGCTACAGCCTGGATCTTGCAGAGATAAACGTTGGAGGGCGAGAGGGTGGGTAAAGCTGCACAAAACACTTTTAATAATGGACAGGGAAACACAGAGTTTCATTCCAAGTGCAGTGTGTGTTTTGTAGCAGTCTGATTTGAAATAGCTCTGTTGCATTTGGTTCTTTGTAGGAGTCCGCTGAGTGGAATTCGCTTGATTGCTGCAGTCGTGGTCGCCCTCTTCCCCTTTGTTTTGTGGCTGTACATTTATGTGAACAAGGAGATGCGAGCATCTTGGCCAACGCACTGTAAAACGGTGATTTAATTGGGTAGGAGAAAGTACAGAATAAATACTCTGACCATATTTGCCTTTGCCTTTGGTTCTTAATGAAAGGTCAGTATCAGTTTGGTAAGACCCAAGAATGCCTGGCTGCTTCCAGCAATACAATTTGATATTTGTTTTAAAAAATGAGGAACACTGCCAGATCTGAGTCGAGACTGTTGTTCAGCTGACTTCTTCATACATTCAAAGCACTGTTGATCTAATGTGTGTTCTGATGGTATATTCAAGATATCCCGTTATCTCTGCATCACTCTCTAACCACATTCTACTGTTCTGTAACATAAGGGAAAAGTAAAGCAAACACGGTGTTGCAATAATGACTGTTTACAGCCATAAAAATTCCAGACATCTGACTGGATAGCGCACTGAGACTAACTGAAAAATTGAGCAGTCTGTATTTCTGTTCCTATGCTACAATCGTATGTAGAATACATCTGAAGAAACATTTTTACTATTATCTTTCACTAAAATTAGTTTTCGCAGAGTAATAAATACTGTTTTCCTAAAGAAATTATATGAAAGCTTCCACATCTTTATTTTCTGCGAGATGCATGCTCAAGACTGCTACCAGCAGACGTGACTATGACAGCTCCACCTGTCACAGAATTCCTGTTCCTGGAAGGCAGGACCCACACAGCAGTCCAGTGACAGTAAGCATGTTCCACCGCTACTAATCCTGGAGCAGGAAGCACAGGTGAACACACTGGACACAGGCTGGCTGGGAGAGACACGGAACAGGCCCAGGTGCAGCACAGCAATGTGCTTTAAATCCTGCCGTGTCAGGGCTTCCTCGCTCAGTACTGCTGTAGGCCGATACAGCAGTGCACACACAGGTCCCAGTGGGGATATCTGCAGCATTACATGATGTACCATAGATGGTCTCCATTTCCCTTGGGCTTAGCTTTTTTGAAGATTACTTTAGTCTCTTAAAGCAACGTTAAGAAGACTGCATGAGGCTACAGGGTGGACTAATGCTGCCAGACCTGAGGCATTATTGACTATGTTAAAAAAATTAATGAAATGCAGCTGTGTAGGTGCAATTCTGCATGCTTTAATTCTGACTGATATAAAAAGTAGGTTTTTTGACAATATTCATAATATGCATTTTTTCACAGTAAGTAATGATACAGCCAGGATTGGGTGTTTCAAGTCAACTTTCTGCATTCAGGTGCATTTATTTCAAACATGTTTACTGGCCTTCTCTATTGTCTATGAAGAAACTAGGTCTGTTTTCTTACAGAAACGTATTTTCTAAAATTCTGTATCCAAGAGAAAAATGTTTGAGTTAAAGCTGTAAGGATCAGCCATGCACATCTTCCTACAAGCAAATAAGCTGAATCCCCTGCTTTTTTGTCCAAGTACTTCCTGAATAAGAACAGTTCTTATTTGCTTGCCATTTTCAGAAATGCATAACTCTGTCTGAAATTCTACCCCTTCCCTTTAGTATCATTTTATCTTCATAGACATAAACAGTTCCAAAGGCATTGCTTTCTGGTGAAGTTTCAATAACCCCCTCCAAAGTCAGATGATGAACTCCATGAGAGTCTAAACAATAGCCACCGTCGTGCAGGTGTCCGGCAAGAAAGCAGACCACGCACTGATGGGAGTGTATGACTGAAAGGGCATCTTCGTAATTCCAGGCTAGGGAAACCCTGTCTGAAGCATCTGGATGAATGGGCAGATGACCTGCAGTTGAGAGGGAAAGAAACGGGAGAGTTACTTTAAGTGTAACCAAACTCTGCCTTCATTGCTGGGAAGCTCAGATATCTAACTGTATACAGAAAGCTCACCTAAGCACAAGACACGGTTGCTATTCTCCTGCTTCACTGGTTACGTGTGTACCTCATGGAGCCACAAAGCTGCTACATTTTCCTCAGCTAGCATACATTTGCTATGTAACTTATTTTGCATATATCCCAATGTATCCCTCACATCCACCTACCCATAACTACAACTTTTTCCTGGTTTTCGTCAGAGAACTTGAGGACTTCATTGAACCAGTCCAGCTGGGCTTGGCTAAATCCTCCGTTAAACTCTACAAACTGAGGTTCTTTGAGTCCTGCAATGAAGAAGAAGATTAGGCATAGGTGCATACACCTCTTGTGGCTTCCCCATTTACTTGCCTTATGCTTATGATAGATGGTTTACTCTTACAACGTTTTGGAGGTTTTTTGGGTTTTGTTTTTGCATCTCTTGGATCAAAACTCCAGCCTCCTTGGACAAACAAGAGAAAATTCTTTGTTAGTGTTTTTAGTGGTTTTGGTCATGCTGAACACACAGCATTTCCACTCCTGGGTCACCCCCTGGCATGGAATAGGGTGGGCATAACTTGACACTCAGCAATAGCAGCTGCATCAACAGCTGCCTTTTGTTCTGATACTGCAGGACAGAGACCACATGAACCTATCCCAAAAGGACCAGAGCAGCATGATGTCTATGGGGGAGCATCTCCTGTGCCTGCCTAGAGACCCACCTATGGTCTCTCAGCCAGCAGGGGAAGTGGAGGAGGTGGGCAGAAATCGGGCACATACCTCAGCGCTCTGGGCACCAGATATCAGCCCCAGGAGCTGCCTTATTGATCTGGGAAGCACCCGCGCTCCCTGCCGAAGGGTCGAGCTGGGGGTACCTGCGGGGCTGTTGAGGTTGTCATTGGGGTTCTTCTCCCGCAGCAGCTGCAGGGACTCCCGGTAGTGGGGGCTGTCCGGCTCCCTGCCCAGGATGCTCAGGTCGTAGGCATCAAGGACAACGATGCGGAAGCGCGTGGCCGGGCTGAAGTGATAGGCCTGGCAATCCTCGGCCGCCGGCTC